ACATTTTACGTCTGGATGCAATTTTGTTTTAAACGGCTGCTTCAGTGCAACATTTTTTGCATTTAGACACATTTGAAATGAAATTTTAAAAATAAATATCTATCCATCTCAGATTCGAGCAGAGATCCTTTAAACATATTGTTCTGATAGTATTATAAGAGATTGGTAAACAAATTATTATTATCTCAAATGAGTGAAGTTAGATTTGAATAAGAAAATCAGTGATCCAAAGTCGTACATGTATATGTACCACTGAGTTATACAGACTCGAAATGTTTTCTCGTTCTGAAGATAGTTTATTTGTAGTCTAACTGTGTACTTCTAAGCTATCAGTATAATAGTATTTACTTTTGTAAAACTGAAATATTCTACACTCAGCATATTTTTCTATTGTTTTTTTTTTTTTCGTTAAAGTGAGTAGTTATAAGTTCAAATGAATATGCTTTTATCTTGTAGTGATCCGGACGAATAGCAGAAACTTTTTTTTTTTCTAAATGAAAAGACTAATATATCTGGTGGTCTTGTATATAATTGTAATTGTTGAAAAATTAATTACATTGTATATATAAGCTGAATGAAATTTCTTAGTAATAGGATTCAGAAATTTAAATTCCAAACTATTGATAAAGAGATTTGAATCACTGATTTTAGCTTTCTTTTATAGAAATTTCTCAGAAACTTATATTCTGCTTTCATCATGTTCCATGTATTTAAATCAAGTCAGACAAAATCGATCGTAAAAATGCGTTTTTATGCATTCAAAAATTTTTCTCAAAAAAAAAGCAAGTTTGAAAATACAAACTTCTTTTTGTTAAAGAAAGAAATTCAATTTATTAGTATAAAAAGCACACATTGAAACATGCTAAAATAAGTTCTTGGTTGCATAGGAAGCATCTTCGTCTTACAATCAGATATGTTTTAGAATTTCGAAATCTAAAAAGTTTTTTTTTTATGCGCATTGAAACGTCGTTTCATAAAAACTTACACCGGGAAGCATTTACTACAGTTGTCATTAATCGGGTGCATTCGCTTTTTTTTCTGAGAAACGCGCCTCGACATTGCTTGCTAATTGTATTTAGACGTAATTCTATTTTGAAATGCCTCTAGACACACGCTAGAAGAATTTTGTTAACTGCTTTTGGATACGATTCTAATAGAAAAAAGGTGTCTAGGTACGCATTAAGTCTGATCGCGTCGCAAAACAATTTTCAATCGATATGTAATCTAGGTGCACTTAAAATATGAAATATATGTTTACATGTTTCATAAGAAACTCAAGCCCTGAACATGTATATTTTTCGTTTGGTGATTACATGGAATGACGTAAATTTTATTATAGATCGATATTATCAGTCAAGTCAATCAGAAAACTGACGAATTTTGTTTATACGGAAAACAGAAAGTTACGGAATTTTACACAGTGATAATAATTTATGAAGATTCTGAATACTACTCTAGATGGAACTCGGTGATTCACTTCATTATCTATATAATTTACAGGGTGGGTAAAAATATTTTTCCAGGAGGGTATCGCTATGGTTTTATATAGAATCAATAACAAATTTTATATCAAATGAAAGCGCGTCAAAAATGGGATTTACTAGTATTAAGTGGTAAGGGTTCTACAAAAGTTTTTATATCAAACATAATAAATCTCTAGAAACAGGATGTATAAAAATGGTTTTCTACGGGGTAATGCTGCGAAAATTTCTAGAATTTTGTTATGTTTGATATAAAAAGATTGACAGAACCCTTACTTTTTAATACTGACAAATTCCATTTTTGATTTCCTTTCATTTAATATAAAATTTGTCATTGATCCTATTTAAAATCGCAGCATTACTCCGTAGAAAACCATTTTTATGCATCCTGTTTCTAGAGATTTATTATGTTTGATATAAAAACTTTTGTAGAATCCTTACCATTTAATACTAGTAAATCCCATTTTTGACACGCTTTCATTCGGTATAAAATTTGTTATTGACTCTATTTAAAATCACAAGGTTATCCTCGTGGAAAAATATTTTTACCCACCCTGTACATTAGGATCTGCATGCTTTAGATATAATTGGACGTTTACAACAGGCTTATTTACCATGTAATTTAATGCTTATAATAATAACAATGTTAAATTAAGAAAATCGAAATACGAAACTGAAAAATAACGAACAAATAGGAATCATGAAAACAAAACTTACAACGTTCGTAAAAACAAACAAGAAAAAACTTGTGTTCTAAATGTAGAAATGAATAAGACAGATCCCTCATCTGGTGATTGATTCTCTTGTATAGTCTATGAGGCTAAAGAACATATGTGAGTTTCACATCCTAGCCCTAAAGGGGTTGTCCTAACAAGCTTTTTTTTACGTTCGTTCCAATAAGTCCTTCGAACATTTATTATGCTATAGTTTTTTTTTACAATATGAGGTAAAGGTGGGAATGGGTGTACGTATGGATGGTTTTAGTGCAAATGTATGTAAGTGGGCCTTGGGTGCAGGTCTGGTCTGCTTGCATACTCATTCACACGAATATCCTTATGTATCTGATTCCATCGAATAGTTTTAAAATATGTTATTGGCAGAGAATGTGACATTTACATTTGAGTAAAGATGAATTATGCTAGTCAGAAGTTCGTAAATGTTGGAAAAGAAGAATTTCAAAGCCATAATTGAAATTATGAAATGCTTAACGAGGTAAAAAAAAACCTACTGTGAGACTTTTAAGTACTCTCAGTAAGAGCTTGTTCCCTTAAATTTTCGAAGTCGAGATACTTTCTTTTACCCATAGTACGAAATTAACCTTGAATAAGAAAGATAAAAAAATGTGTGAGTTATTAACAGAAAGAAAAACATTAAGAAGCAGTAAACAACTTTTTTCTTTGTATCTGATAACGAACTGAAGAATTTATTTTCATCTTTGTATTCATGTCGATATTGGCTAGAAAGGTAGAGAGCTCTTTATCTTACGAACTTACACGACATCTAAGTTGCAAAAGATAACGAAATTCTTCGAAAGTGTAGCGTATTACTTGTTGTGTTATTGACATTTTTTCTGCATTAGATATTTATAAATTTATCAACTGCTTGATTATTTAAGACTTATGGCTGTTAGACCAGCTGATACACAGGTAGATCAATTAGATTCCAAGAATGTGACTGAGGCAACGCCAACGCCAAAATACGAACCACTGGACATTGCTAATGGTACTGAAGTGACAGTAAAGAGTGGTAAGTACGTATAACGAAATCATAGAAGACTATTGTCATAGATTATTGTCAATATAGAAAACTAGGTCTCCTTGCTAAAATTGCTATTGGTGTAGTCGTAGTTGCGGTTGTGGCGACCGCTGTCACTGTTCCAGCTGTTCTCTTAACTCGACCGAAAACAGACTCTTCAAGTACTACCGTGGCTACTAGTACGCCAGCATACCGTTAACGACAGGAGTCCCTTCTTCAGCCACGACAACAATATCGGGTGTCACTTCCACAGGCGTAATGACAACACCAAGGATCGTTTCAACATTCACAACAACAAAAGCGAACATCACTTCTACAGCAACAACAACACCAGATATCGCTTCGACAGCCACTTCTACTGCAACAGAGATGACAGGTGAGATTCGACCATAGGAGAATCTGTTCTTCATCCATCTCTTGCTAGCAACAGTAACTTGCACATCAAAGGTATGAGCATAGATATGAGTACCAGTGAATGGAAGATCCATACCCACAGCCAACATCCCATCCCCACTCGCATTCCCACTCACATTTACAGACAGCGTTCTTCGTAGAAGTTTCCCGATTTTTACGATGACTTTCTGACCCGAAATACTGCGTCCAAGTTCCATTCATTTTTAGTGTTCTTCTACTGCATGTGACAACTTTCCTGCATCTTTTCCGCCGGCTCCCGTGATTTTGGTTTCTTTCCGAAGTCTGAAATCATCAACGTGGGTCCATATGATTAAAGACGTTTCGTTAGCAGAGAAACGCTATTATCTATCCATTTGGGGAACAATTTCAAATTCTGAGATTTACCATCAAAAACATTTTCCAGAGGATAGTACGTACGAAGAATTGATTTTAGTTGAATTCATCAATTGATTATGATGTATTAGAATACAAATCTAAGTATTACATTCAGCGAAAATGTTTATAGCAAAAGATTAACTATAATGAGAAAAATCAGGCTAATCAAATGACAATGAACGAAGATATATGACAATTTATCGAAGCAACATTGTCCGCATGTTGAAATATTGAAGATCTCAAAATTAGGAAAGCATCATTCTCAAAGACATTTATCATATGTTGTTTTTCTGCATACATGTATATATGTTGGTGACTACAAAAAACATGCATATCATTTGAGTTTAGTTATGTGAAGCCTATTTGTATAGAGACCGTTTACGTTATTTTTTATAGTTGTAGTTAGTGAGCTGAATTTTGACGAAAACTTGCATGTTCATTATTTCGCTATGTTTCGATAAAGCATTTATTACTTCAGATATGATTGACGAATTATGAGATTGTGGGTGTGGCTGCGGGTATGTGTGATTGGAGATTAGATCCGTACTAACACTCCCGACCGCCAACATCCTTATTCTTAATTGCTGAAGTCTGTAATGGGGACAGGAGTGGGGGAGCCGCGAAAACTTGACCTTAAAACTTACACTCACTATTTTCTTCGAAAATATATGTAAGTTCTGCGAAATAATTAGAAGCAGCAAAGAGCTTTGTTCTTTTGCATTTGATAACGAACTGAAGAATTTCATTTTATCTTGATCTCTATGACGGTATTGACCAAAAAATCTTCAAAAAAAAAGCCTTTACTTTTGTTAACTAGAAAGGAAAAGAGCTCTTTATCTCTCCAAGTTACAGGACGTCTAAATCACAAAAGATAACGAAATACTTTAAAACGATAGCACACTACTTGTTATTTCATCAACATTTTTCTGCATTCGGTATTTTTTAACTTATAAACTACTTAGTTGTTTAACATTCATGGCTGGCAGATCAGTTCATACACCAGCTGATCCATTAGACTCCAAGAACACGACTATACCAACGCCAAGACGCGAGAAATTCGATGTGGATGACTCTACTCAAGTGATAGTAAAGAGCCGCAGGTTCGTATAACGAAGCCATATAAAACTGTTGCCATAGGTCATTGTCAATATAGGAAACTAGGTCCGCTGGCTATAGGTCTTATTGTTCTACTCGTGATTCTGATTGTAGCGACCGCTGTGACTGTTCCAACCGTTCTTTTAACCCGACGAACAACAGAATTCTCAACTGTTCCCAAGCCCACTATTTCGTCTACGATTCCATCAACAACAGAATCCTCAACTGTTTCCAAGCCCACTATTTCATCTACGATTCCATCAACGACAGTTGTCACTTCGACAATCGCAGAAACAACGATGGATGATACTACAACGATGGATGATGCTACAACGATGGATGATGCTACAACGACGGATGATGCTACAACGATGGATGATGCTACAACGATGGATGATGCTACAACGATCACTACTACTGTAACAGAGACGACGGGTGAGATTTGAACACAGAAGAATCTCTTCTTTATTCAGCTCTTTTTTGATAACAGCCTCTAGGGCATCGGAAGTGTGGATGAATGGAAGATCTGCACCCATACCCACATTCACACTTCCATGCACATTCAAATGGAAACATCTTCTATTGCCGAGTAGCATTGAGTGCTCTGAACAAGTGAAATCTTTCTTGATTTTCTAAATAGCTCAGCTAGAGTCAAAGAAAAATCAATGAAATTTTGACTGATAGTAGATCTAAATGGTCTCTATTTATAATAAATTTCAAATAATTTGGTTTCGCCATTGACGAAAAGTAGATGTTACAATATAACACGATGGAATTCCGTAATGCTTGGTCATGTCGTGATATCAGTTATCGATGTTAAGTTGTGCAAAGTATGCGAATCATTCTAAATGAAATTTCGAAGAAAATATCTGTTGACTTGAGTTAGTTTGAGAAATCAACTCACATCAATGCATTATAACTAGCAGTTTTCTTGTTTTCTTCCATCTGTATTCACGGTATTATCAAGTAAACTTTGATATCTACATACATTAGCTACTAGGTTGATACTTGAATCAATATTGTTCTTCATTTTACATATTTCGCGAACTCTTTTTTATCAATGATAATTCATTTTTAGCAAGCTATTATCAACACTCTAACAAAACTATCTACTTACTATTGTGCTCAGGTCATTAAATACGAGCCGATTCCAGTACGAAGACACAAGGTATCAATGGAGTTTAGAGGCAGTATTCTTAGTGGAAAATTTTCCTGATTTTTATGATGACTTCTGTGTAACTTATTGTTCTTTTCGGTGGGATTCGGAATACTGCGTCAAAATTCTATCGATTTTCGATGTTTTTCTGCTGCATGCGACAATTTTCCTTCATTTTTCTGATTAGTTTCAGTGATTTCGGCTTCTTTCTCAGATCTGAAATCATCGATATGGATCCCCATGATTAAATGCGCTTCGTTAGCAGAAAAATATTACAGTTAATAGCGAAGAAAAATCATAAATCCTTCCACAATTCCATGATCTCTAATAGGTCGAGTAATGCATTTTCCAAAAATACATTTGCAATTATGAATTCATTTTTACATGGCACTCCGCTAATCTTGATGTGAGTGTGATATATTTCTTGTATAATGTGCTATTTTGAATTTGAATATCAGGAAACTATGAGGAAATCGATGAGAAACTTTTATTTTACGACACATTTTATGTTGTTCGATTATAGCTGCGTGAGTTTGTACACAATCCAAAAAACAAAATAATCTATATGAGCGATAGAATGACTTGTTCAGAGTGAATATCTTTATCAACCATCTATATAAAAAGTCTGTTAAAAATAATGCAAAATCAACATAGTTCTTCTTGTCACAGGATAAAGAATTTCGTGCAATAAAATAGAAACCTTCTTGTACTTCATACAGTGTTCAAAGTTTTTACACTTCAACTAATAAACAATTTTCATTTTACAATATTTTAAAAAATTTCACTTAGACACTAACAATCTTGTATCTTCCCTAATATTTCACTTTTCAGCCTGAATATATTCGAATAGTGTTTCTAGGATGGTTTAACACTGGTAACATGAATATTACACGATATATCTCCAAAGCATCTGTATTAACAAATGGAAAAGTTTTAGTTACTGGTGGAATAAGTATGGGTAGTATCACAAATAGTACTGAATTGTATGATCCATTATCAGAAAGTTGGACATCAATTGATAGTATGATTGATCCACGAGTTTGGCACACAGCATCCATATTAACAAATGGAAAAGTGTTAGTTACTGGTGGATACTTTTTTACTGCTTTGGATAGTTCAGAATTATATCAATCATCTTAAACAAATGAATAATCAATAATTTTATGTTTACAGATAGATACAATTTAGCATTTAAACACGAATTTGATAAAGACAATTATTGAATTTAAATGATAGTGAATGGTTTCCTTCGATGTTTTTGTTAATTTGTCATACATTTGAGAATTCAATTTAAAATATTAAAATAATTTTGTTTCTAAGTTTTTATTAAGCTTATTGTGATGAAAAATTTTCAGTTTCTATGATCATTTTTATCTTTTGAAAGTGTTTCATTAAATTTCCAATTCATCTTCAATACAAAAATTCGATTTCTTTTATGTCATTCATCAATATCCCATCAATACTTCGAGCTATATTGGTAGATTGAACTTTGACATTGTTCATATAAGTTTTCAAAGGTTTGCCTTTCCTATTGAAGGAAAAAAGATTGCTGTGTCTTGTATCTAATTTGTCTAGTAGCAAGTTATATTTTTATATTCAAATAAGTGAATTTTTATTCAGTTCATTAATTGTTCTACTCTCGGCGAAGTATAGCTAATTAGAGTACTTATGAGAAATAAGTATATCAGCGAAGAATAGAATTTTCTTAGTTATCTATTTTATTTTACTTGTACTTCAGATGAGCCAATATTAAATATGTGGTGATTAAGATCGAAGTTGTACAACTCCATGTATCATCACAATTGAGTAAACGATAACTAACTTGAGAATTGAGCTAACGAATGAGAATGTCTTTAGTAAAGATACGGCATCGATATTAAGCACGAAGTTTTAAGACTTTTTCCAAATAGTATACACATGGCTGTCACTAAACACCTATTTTAATGTAAGAGGCAGTATCGATACTGACGCATCCTTTATAAATTCATCGCTTGGTTATGCACAGTTTTGTTTAACAATCGCAAGTTATGAATCTAGATCTGCGTTAAGAAAAACCGAAAGAACGGAAGCAAATGAGGATTGTTTTTGGATCATCATCAGTTTTCCTCCATCCACAGTCTATCGAATGCAGAATTTCATGAGGAATTGTTTGATAACAAAATAAAACCATCTCTGAAGGATTCAGACCCATTTTGTCTGAAATTATTGATATCCTTGTTTGTACTAAAAATACATGATTCATGTATAGAAGGGTGGCTTGTAGAAATTTTTCCATATTAAGATATTCTTAACTGAAAACTATGTCAATCAACTACACGTTCTAGAGTCTATCTCTGGTAAAAATTTTGGTTCGAAAGGTTGAGATGTTGCTGAGTAATGACATAAATATTGTTCCAAATGAGCATGAAAATCATAGAGTGATATTCCTATCTCTATTCACTTGTGTACGCTGTTTCCATAATATCTCGAGAAAGGAAAAACAACAACATGAGTTTTCAACTGATTCTGAAAGCTTGTAGGAAGGATTATAAAATCAGCTACTTTTCGATTTTTTTACAAGTGATCCTCGTTGAAAAAGATGACTTGAATTTCATTTAGACACATAGGAGTGCAACAAATCCTATTTTACCTACAAAAAGATTATAAATTTTCGGTGTGAAAATCGTCCAAATCCAATCAAATCTTCGTGTCAATCAGAGCCCGAAAACGAACCGAAGTAAAAGTAATCGTTCCCACCGTACAATATATTTTGCTTAGGGTGTATTGAGTTGGTGAGGACTGCAACGATTTTTTATTTATTGTGCTATACAGCATAATAGTTCTTAGCATGGTAGCATTGCCATTTTGTCTTATTATCAATAGGATTCGATTTTTATCGTGACGATCAATCAATCGTTCGCAAGCTAATGCATAGTGGACTATTTTTTTCTTTCTTGGTCATTGCTATTCGATGCGATGAATAACCATCAACGAACTATCTAGGAATAAAGTTGAAAAAAAAACATCTCAAATTAGCGCGCAACTCTTCTCATTCTTTCAGAGTAAAAACATCACCTGATAGGCAGTAGAATCACTAGAAGTTACGGTTCTATTGCATTCGTTCAACATAATTATACGGTTTTAACTGAACGAACACGAACCGATTTTTTGAAGCTAGAGTCGAACTAGGATGGGGTGTGAGTGTGAGCTAAAAGAAGGACCACGCCCACACCCGCGCCCATACCCACATCCAACCCACTCCAAGATAGTTTTTACGATGCGTTTGAGAGATTTTCTGATGAGTTTTTTACGATTTCCAAGAGATTTTGTAAAAAATTCGCAAGCAGAAAATCTTTGATAAATTTTAGTTTTTTAAGTCCTGTGAATTTGTCTATAGGCTTTTGACCTAGAGAACATACCCCGTGTGCTCTAACAAGTGGGCTTTGTACATCCTCTCTATGCAATCTCTCGTAAATCGTTCTATAAAAAAAACCTGGATTTCCAAAGCTCAACTTTATTTGCCGTTTTTCTCAACATGAGTTCTTTTTTGTTCGTGCGTCCCAGATTTCTCAGCTATTTTATATGCACGAAAGCTCAGGAAGGTTTTAAATTGAAGACAAAACTGTATTCAACAAGTTAACGGAGCCGGATTGTTTATTTTTGACTCAGTTTTTGAGAAAAATGGCTTTTTTTCATAGGAATCACTCTGTTTTTTCGAAGTTTTCGAGAAATATTAACAAAGAAGAATTTAAAAATCGGACTCTATTAAATTGTAGCAGCAAGTGTTGGCTACATCTTGACGCTAATCCGAAATCTGTATCATTAAACTTGGAGAAGAAATCTGGGACGTATGGATAAGTACTTTTGAGCATTTGATATAGAAATAACTCTTGAAAAACACAATATTTTGGGCTGAAATTTTTACTATAAGCTCTTCAGAAATGATCTCTTTTTGAAAAGTTGCTTATGTTATAAGCAAAAAAAGACTTGTTGAAATTTTTTTATTTTATGTTGTTAGAAAGAACAATACAAAAACAAAGATAAAAGATATGCATATAGTCAAGCAAAGAAATAAGAGAAATACACACACATACATATATATATACTACGCGCTACTCAAATAGTCTTTTCGCATTTTTATTGTGAAAAAATAAGAAAAAGAAGTTGTTTTTTTTATTGTCATGTTTATACTATCTAATCCTCGAATTAAAAAGAAAAGTAAAATATCGTAGATTTATGATGTATAAATTGGTAATAAATCTCGTTGAATTTCATGATCATTATATTGTGTTCCAAAATTTTGTTTGCATGGAAATAATACTTTTTCATTTGTATTCATATTAATAACTTCAATTTGATCAAGAAAACATTCCGATGACAACATAGACTTATGATGTTCAACATGTAATTTAGTTAATTTACCTATATTTATAAAAATTTATTACAGAAAAAATAAAAAAAAAAAAGAACATTTTTTTTTCTTACCTAATTCTGAACATTCAATAACATATTCATCAACTCCATCAAGTTCAAATAGATTTTGATTATTTTTTTTTAATATTACACTATCCGTATTACCAAGAGTACCATAAAGTATAATTGATACATCCGTATCTGTACTAGCACCTGATACATAACCTTTATGAACAATAATTTTATATTTAATTACACGACGAAGATGTTCTTGTGTAATAAAATATTCTCTGTTATTCATATAATCAAAAATATCACCATCATTATTAATAGTAATCCACTGTTGTACTGGAAATTCATATCTAAATTTTTTTTTTTGCAAAAAAACAAATCAAATAAATAATGAATTCTTACTTGATGCCTGTTGATAGATCAGTTATAGTAATATGTGAAACATGCCACACAGTTCCATCATCTTCATGTGTTTTAAATAGATGTTCATGTTGTTCTTGATGACCCAAAATAATACGACGTAATTCACCAAGAGGTTGACAACCAAAGGTAAATGTATTGGTTTGTCCACTATACATTGTATTTCAATTAATCATATATTTGAAAAATTTTTTCTTACCGCTGTAGAATTCTTTGATGTACTGTATTTTTCATTAAAAATTTTTCTGATCTATTTTTATTTCCTTCAATAATAATCCATCCATGTTGTGTTGTTCCAGCATTTTGTAAATCTGAAGTAACAACTACTATTTCATATTGAACTATTCCATTTGATATTAACGAATCACATTGATTTATATAATATGGTATATCAAAATAATAATCTGTTCCATGTCCTATCCAATTATTAAGCACAAAAGAATATGTTTCTTCATTTATATTTTGTTTTGCATGTTTAATAAGTTGAATTTTTTCTAAATACCAATGATTTCGACCATGTATAGATTTCGGAAAAATTGCTACACGTAATTTAATTGGTTTACCAACATCTTCAAATTCACACTAAATTAAAAATTGAAAACAAAAGAATCAGAAAAAAAAATCATAATCTGTATCCTACTTGAAACATATCAACAGCTGATTGTTCAAAATTTCCTCCTTGTTTTCGTATCATATATTCCGATGATGAACCTAACATACCAAATAATCTCAAACTAACATCACAATCACAACCAGCATTATCCATATGTCCTGTATAAATCTTTACTACATATGGCAATACTAATAAAAATAAAAATAAAAACTAATAATGAAATTAAATAAACATAAATAAAATTTTACATGGACGAACTGATATGTTATTTAAACCTTGTACTTTTAGTATACGTTTAGTTTTTCCATCACCTTTACATTTTGATAACCAATCATTACAAACAAAATAAAATGTTCGTCCTTTTGTTGGCATTTCAACAATAACACTATCAAGAAACCAACTATCAGCTAATGTATTACCATTATGTTCAATTTCAACCATTTCAATATCACCAATATCAAGTTCTTGTAATGGAAATGTTTCAATTTTTCCTGGTTCAAAATATCGTCGATGTGTTACTTCTAATCGCATCATAGGTGTTTGACGATCTTTGGAACCAATTAAACGAATAAATACATTTGCTGATGTACCAGCATCAGATGCTTCACCAGTTTTTATTTTAACAATATAAGGAATAAATTTTTCTGTTGTATGAGACACAGATTTTGTACCATTCATTAAATCTTGATATTTCTTTTAAGAAAAAAAAAAAAAGAATTATTATATCAATGAATAAACAAAAGATAATTTTAATAAATTTACCTTTTCATAAAATATTCGTTCAAGTTTTGAATCATTTTTATCCATTGCTAACCATTGTTTACAATTAAATATATATGTTTGTTTTTCATCTTTAATTTCAATTTTTTCTAAAAACCAATCAGCTAACATTCCACTATTATCATGTCGAATTTTAAGTTTATAAATATTTCCTAAATCATTATTTTCAATTATAAATCTATCGATTTGATTTCTTTCAAATTTATTTTTATTTGTTTGAGAATATTTTAATTCATGTTCATCTGTATCATTTTTATCTCCATAAATTGTTAGAAAAACATTAGCATCTGTACTAGAACCAGATTTATCACCTGTATAAACATCCACTAGATATTTTTTAATAAATTTTTCTTCAATAAAATTTTCTGGAATAAGTTCACGTACAATAGATCCATCATCTTTATCTTTAGCCAACCAACAATTACATCGAAATACATATCTTTTTGTCTTTTGACCTTTAATTAATCGACGAATTTCAACACGATCCAAATGCCATGCTGTATCTATTTATCAAAAAATAATTCATAATCAAATGTCTATTTTCTCTTACCAAAACCATGATTATCATGTCCAATACGAATTTTTTCAATAGAATCTCCAACATCTTCAAGTTCATGTATAAAAGTATCAATAGAACCCATGTAAAATTTTCCTTGTCGATCTGTTGTATTACGTAACATAACTTGATCAGTTGATTTTTTAAGACCATAAATTTGAATATAAACATTAGCATCTGTTCCTGCACCAGAAAGTTTTGATGTATAAACTTTTATTTCATATGGAACATCTAATTAAATATTTTTTTTTGTAAAAATATTTCAAAAAGAAAATTCTCTTTTTTTTCTTTTAATATTTACATGATGTCTTAATTCCAGTTGACATTTCAATTGGATATAATTCAACTTCTGCTTGAACATTATTTGTTGTTTTACGTATCCGTTTTCCACATGGAAATATCCATGTATGACCTAATGTTGGTATATCAATTTCTACACGTTCTAATAACCAATCTGATGCGAAACCTGATTCATCATGACCAATTCTTAGAAAAAGTAAAATATAATTAAACAATATTTTAATAATATTTTATTCATACATAATCTTTTTTGGTTGACCAATATCTATTGTTTCTATTTCAAACAGATCTTTATGACCTTTTTCAAATGGATCTTTATTTGTTTTTGATGTAACTAATGAAATTTTGCCTATTATTTAAATAAATATATTTTTATATTTTTATTTAATTAAAATAAATATCACCTGTATTATTGAGTTCACCAAATATAATTATATAAACCTTAGCATTAGTACCACTACCAAATTTATCCGAAGTAATAACATTAATTCGATAAGTTGTAACTAATATTATGATTTACAAAAAAAAAAACATCCAATGTAAACTATTATTTTATCGATTATTTATTAAAATTAATTCTTTTAAAAACTTACTTTGACATACAGATGATAGATCATGTGATTTATTTTCAGATGCATAAATTTCACGTGATAGCATTTTATCACCTTCATCAACAGCTAACCATTTTTCACATATAAAATAATATCTTTTAAACAATAGAAAGATAATCGAAGAATTTATTTCAATTTTTTCTATTATATTTACCTGAAGCCAGTGTCAGGATCAGCAATTTCAATTCGATCAAGATACCATGCAGAAGAAAGCTGTAGAAATAAATCAATTTTCAAAAACAAAACTTTTATAAAGAAGAAATGTTTAGAATGAAAAAGAGGGTAACAAAATTTTGTATAGGAAATAAATGATGATGCTAAATATTCAAATTAACTTTGAATCTGTTATCAACTTGTTCAGTTAAAATGAGCCATGTTTGATCAAAGTTGAACAAAGGATTTTTTTAACATTAAGCAACTAAAATTATTCATTTTAAAAAAGTTTTTACAAGTTTTTGTATATTTTCTGCTGGTAGATATCACTTATTTTTAATAACAAGGAAAATAAATAATAGTTGCTAGCCAAAATCAAGCATTTTTTATGCAAAAACAGTAGAAAACGAGTCATATTGTTTTGTATCATATTTCGAATACTACCGTATCATTGACGTTTGAGCTACGGTTTGACATCAATGGATCATCTGATATTGCTATCAAATCTGTACAAAACGTGCTTTTCTACAGTATAAAAAAAAACAATGAGTGCATTATCTGCGGACAAGCTGTTGTCTTCTTTAAGTGTGAGGGCAACGATTCATGCTTATCAGCTGATGGAAGCTCAAGGAGGAAACGACGTACTCCTAGAGTACACAGAGTCCAGTACCTCCGTACTGCCTGGACTTGTTGTACTTCCATTAGTACTCTGTCTATTTCAGGAGTTCACAAAGTCTATGAAGTCCAGCTGGAGTACATCGTTTCTCCCTTGTGAAAGCTACATTAACAATTGATACCGAACTCTAGCTTCTTAATAGCAAGTTGTTCATGAAAGAGGATGGGAGGCAAACAGCTAACCTCAGCACTTCAAGTAACTCCTACAAACCTAAAGAAACTTCAAGGAAGTTCACAAGATTCCATGAGAGTTCAAACACCGCACGGGACTTAACAGAACTTCATAAGACTTCAAGACCGAAGTCTTTTTTATTCTTCCCCGCTTCGATTATGGGATACACGCAGCTCATTTCAAAAGTACCGATCTGCAAAACTACCTCTGTTTTTAGTTCCAGTTTCGCTTCCGAAATTCAACAACGTTTTTTTTTTTAATAATCTATATAACTCTTTGAATAAATGTAGAACAGAGACCAAATCAAACGGAGTTTTACTGGTTCGGATCGAATCGAACCGAATCGATCCATTATAGTTCAGTCCGGTGCACTTTCGATTTCTGATGCTTATGAAAATGTAAAGTCTAAATATTCCTAAAAACGTTTTGATGAAAACACATTTAAATAATATAGGTCGCAGTTCCGGTTTCAGTCTTGCGAGATCGAAATCAGAATTATCTTGCAAATTCCTATTCAAAAGAACTATTTAACAGTTTCTTATACACAAAAAAAGTTTATGTGAAATTTTCACATTCTAAGTCTTGCTTTTGAAGGAAAATTTGAGATTCGAATATCTTTCTATTAGTAAAATTTTGCTAGTCTCTCCTAACAAAAAAAAATTATTCAGAAAATTTAGATTTTTTTTTATGTTAGATTTATAAGATTCTGAAGATTAACTTTCAGTCTAATATTCATACTCCTTTATTATCATGTCGAATTTTAATTTTTGTTAATCTTCCCAATGATAGAGATTTGATTTCGAAAATATCTTCCTAAAAATTAAAAAAAATAAAATAATAAATGACTTTAAAACAAACAAACTTGTTTTCGTTCAAATCTATTGCTATTTGTTTTTGATTTAATTAATTGACGTTCTCCTATAATAAATCTTTACATTACAAAAAATAAAATATAATCTAATTTTTGTTTTACCTGAATCTTTATTTTGACCATATATTGTTAGAAAAACATTTGCATCTGTACCAGCACCACTTTTATCACCCGTAAAAACATGTACAAGATAAGTTACTTCTAATAAAATATTTTTTTTTATTTAATTAAATAAAAACATTTTTGATTTTACCTTTTTTATTACTTATTACATTGTCATGTTCATAAATTGTTGGTAATAATTCTCGAATAGTTTGTTTATCACCTTGATCTTTATCAAACCATTGTCGACAAATAAACCAATATTCTTCAACATTTGGATTTGATGTATTAATTTGTTTTAGATGTTTTAATTGATCAGATTTAAAAGCTAAAAAAAACTTTTAGTTCAATTATCTTTTCTTTTTTTTCATTTATCTAATAATTTACTTAAATATCGTTGAATAAGTACCTAAATTAAAAAATTTTTATGGAATAAAAATTTAAGCAACAAAAAAAATAAAATAAAATTTTACTTTTTCAAGATACCATGATGCACCAAAATTTTCTGAATGATGACCAATTCGAATTTTTTGAATTGGTCCTATATCAGGAGCTTCGATTTTAAATTGATCAACCTTTGAAATAAAATTAGTTTCAAAAATAAAAAAAGAATTTTTATTTTTTTGAAAATTATTTCTACTGATTTTCTTTCAAATGAATCCGATCTATTTGAAAGAATAATTTCTTCTGTTTTACCATATGAACCATATATTTGAATAAATACTTTCGCGTCTGTACCAGCACCAGCTTTGTCACCCGTAAAAACTGTTACTTCATATGGAATAACTATAACAAAATATTTTTTGTTTTTAAATTATTATTTTTCAATATCGAATTCGATTGTTTTGATATTTACGAGTTGGTTTTTTAGTTATGTCAGATGGTTTTAAATCAAGTTCAATTTTTCCATCACCTTCTTTTTTATCTAACCAACGATTGCAAGTAAATCTATTGAAATAGAAGATAAACATCGAAATAAAAAAAGAATTAATAGAAACTACTCATTAGAGAATGTCAATCGTGCCGGAAGCTCTTTTTTTTTCTAGAGAACATTCTAAAACTGTATGAATTTGTACAGAATTTCAGTGTTCATAAATTAGACATTCCGAGACTCGATAAATCTCATGCATTAGCATCAACAGTTCTAGTTCAATACAGTCACAATAGTGAAATTCACAGCACTTTTTTTTTCAATACCATCATGGCAGCGACACTGTGGCTTTTTTTTTCTATCACCATGGCACGTTTTCAATCGCGATAGACATCTCTTTTTCTTTAGACCAGAGATAAGCAGCTTTAACTTCGAAGCGGCTAGAACAAGTCTGAAGCTGTTCATCTCTGCTTTAGATTGTTTCTTGCATTGTATATTATTAACAATTTGGAAAAGAATAAGAAGTTTACGAAAACAGATCTTTCATATCAAACTTACAAAGGAACATTTTCCGATGTCGAAGCACTTTTCAGTCGAGACTTAGTGAATATTTTCTACCTTAAAAAAAATTTCATGCCGATGATCTGTTTCTCAAGAGATCGAACGTTTTTACTGTAAAACTCAGTGTCTCAATCAACCTGAATTGAGACGAACTGAGATTTTCTTCATATATAGTTGTACTCATGTAAAAGATAATGCAAAAGTATGAGCGTTCAAGCGATCTTCGAAAGACGGAATTATTAGTTTTATAAAATGACATCGGTTATGCTACTCCTTAGAATTACATTCTTTTCTAGATTGATTTTTCTGAATAAATTCTTATTGCATCGAGATATGTAAAGATGTTGACTCTTTTTAGCTGACTATTAACTAATTAAACAGTAATTAAAGAATATCTTTCTAACCATAAGAAAAAAAACTTCAAGATAGACTCTAAAGCATAACTTGCATCTATGATGAAATTTTTAGCAAGATCGAGTTTCAAAAAAACTTCATCTGAAGAATTGGGTTTTCTAGAGACTCTGTCAAGTCCTGAAACAAAACTTTTTCTCTCATCATCATCATCTAGAGATTCTAAGGAAGGTTGGAATTCGTTTCGAACTCGTCATTCGATTACAAGAACTTTTTTTTTTTCGTTTGTGTATTTGTAATTTTTCACGTCGCTAACGCTAATTATTTTGCGGATAATTCCTTAAAACAAAAGTCTCTAGTATTGATTTTTTTGGTTGTTTTCATAATGTTAAGCACGTAGCTCCAATCCAAATAGTGATTTTAATAACCAATAAAGATATTTTTCAGGTTCTAGAAGGCTTTGTCAGATCTATTTTTGAACGGTGCCATCTTAAAGAGCACAAAATTCTGAGCAAAATGAGGGGTTGTCGAGTGTTCTACGAACTTCTCGTAAAAAGTTACAAGTATTACAAAAATCATAAAAAAAGGCGTTTTTAGTCGATTTTTAAAAAAATTTCGTTTTTTCATGATTTTTGTGATGCTTGTAACTTTCTACGAGAAGTTTGTAGAAAGCTCGGCGACTCCTCATTTTGTTCAGAATTTTGTGCTCTTTAAGATGGCACTGTTCAAAAAATAGCTCTAGCAAAGCCTTCTAGAACCTTAAAAATATCTTCATTGATTATTAAAATCACTATTTGGATTGAAGTTACGCGCTTAACCTTATGAAAATAACCAAAAAAAATCGTTGTTTCTAAACTTTTTTCCATCATTTTAACATATAAAAAGTTTATTATCCCGAGATACAAATGTTCTAATTTTTTGAAATTATATCGCTAACGAGTTTTTACCTATAAAGTTCATGTCGGATTGGTACATTAATTTCAATCCAATCAAGAAACCATCCTGCACCAGAATTTTTTCCATTATGTCCAATAAGTATATGTTCAATCTATTGATAAAATATTAAAATAATCTTTAAAAAAAAAAAAGAAAATAACAAACTTTGCCAAGATCATAAATTTCAAATGTAAAATTATCAATTTGTCCACGTTCAAATTGATCTCGTGTATTGTTAGTTGTTCTAAGTTGAATTCTATCTGTATTACCTTTTTCACCAAATATTTTCAAATGTACATCAGCATCAGTACCAGCTTGAAAAATATCACCAGTTTTTATTTTAATATTATATGTTATTTTATCTAAATGTTGTGTTAATGTTAATTCACGAACAATTTTTCCATCATCTTCATCAACAGCAAACCATCTATAAAATAATTTTTATTTATTTATTAAAACAATTATGTTTTAAATACCTATTACATATAAATGTTGTTGGTTCAGAACGTTGATCATCTTGACGAATGACAACTTTATTTAAAAACCATCCAGAATGTGATCCTATTTAATGACTAAATAAGTAAATAAAAAAGAAAATTATTTTATTAATATAATTAACCAGTGCCATCATGACCGATTCGAATTTTTCGTATTTGTTTTAATAAAACAGCTTCAATAATAAAACTATCAACCTTAAAAAAAAAAAAATTTTTAAATGAAGATTTTTAAATTTGTTTTTACTTGATTTTGTTCAAATTTATCTTTATTTTTTAATGAATATTCTAAGTAGCGTACTAGAACAAAAAATAAACGTTTTGTTTTTTTCTTTTTTCATTAAAAAACTTATTAAAAATCAAATTTAATATGTAACCTCCTGTATCACCGCATTCATCATAAATATTAATAAAAACATTTGCATCTGTACCAGCACCAGTTTTATTTCCTGTATATACATCAACTATATATTTAATAATTGGTAATGGTCTTGATATTCCTGATCCTTCAGCTGGTAATTCTCGAATAATTTGTTTATCATCTTCTATTTTTGATAACCATCTTCCACAATGAAATGTATATTGTTGATTTGTTTTAAGATTTTGCATTTCAATCTAAAAATTTTCATGTAACAAAAATAAAAGATAAATTATTGTATTTTGTCATACTCGATCAAGATGCCATGATGTAGATAAATTATAATTATTAAGATTAACACGTAATTTAAATGGGATACCAATATCATGTATATCAGTTGCAAATTGATCACAATGACCTTGTTGAAATGTATCTGATTTTCTTTCTAATTTAATAGTTTTTGATTTTCCATTATAACCATAAAGAACAAGATTTACTTGACCATTTGTACCTGCTCCTTTCTTATCACTTGTATATATCCATATATACCATGGAATAGCTAAATAAAGAAAATAAATTTATGAAAAATAAATTTTAATTTATTTACCTGGTGGATTAGTTTCACGTAATGATAAATCTTCTTTTAATCGACGTTCAATACGTTTATCACCTTCATTATCAGCTAACCAATTGTTGCAAGGAAATGTTTGTTTAATACCTGTACTTGGACATTCGACAATAACCTATTTATTATTCAATGTATCAATGTTATTCTTCATCTCTTTGAGGAATCATAGCAGTAGCCGCGCGAGTAGGGGGAAGGGCGTGGATGGGTGTACACCCCCTAATAAATAAAAATTTTGAACATTTAACTATGAAAAATAGACACTAGTATGTTTTGATAGAGAAGATTTAGTTTGATGCTATAAATGTTCTGTTGTCGTCAAGGCAGAAAAAGTGGTATAAATGAGGATCGTTCCCCTAGCTTTGAAAGTACTAATAGGAGTCATTTTGTAACAACTGGTATAAAGGTTTTTTGGAATAAAATTTCTTAGTAAAGAATTTTCTCATGCCTAATTTTGAGGCATTTTTCAAAAATTTTCACTATGCGAATTAGGTTTTTTTCAATAATTGTATAACTGAATGGCTCTTTTCCATTTCGATTTTCATTATGAAATGCTTTATAGCTGATATTCATCTTTAAAGATAAATAAGAGTAGAAAGTGTAGCCGTCTTTGGGGGACAATCTCAAAGAAAAACTATTTCTCTCCTATCACTCAAAAAATCGACTTTTCATACCAATGAATGCACATTTGTTAGAGTTTTCTGTTTTATTTTGCTATGAAAAGCTGCCGCCTTCGGCAGCATTTTCTTCCAAAACAACTGCTAAATTGATAGTTTTAATACCGCTGTTTTCTTGTCAAAAATGTTTGATTTATGCAAATGAAAAAAAATTTTGTCACTGCGCGGCACTTCAAAAAAAGTCGCATATAGAAAAGATGACCGACAACGGTTTTTATAGTTATGACGGAAAAAAATTTTTTTCCATTTCTCTACATTTGGAGGCTAGATACGCTCCTGATTGTCGCTAGATGATTTCTCGTTGTGCATACTTCTATCAAAACTTTTAAAGACACTTACATCCTCCCCTCCCCCAATTCTGGACCCTTTGCGCGGCCACTGAATCCATAGCTCAAATATACTATATGAATTGAATATTATTGAAAATTAAAATAGTTTTATTGAATTATGATGCTAAGATTATTGATAAATTTTCTTATATTCTTCATTTGAAGGTCGGTAATCGATCATTAGATTTGCCTGATTGTCTATTACTTTTTTTTTGGAAGTTTATTCTTATAAGAGAAAGCTATTATTCATCATTTTTTATTTTAAATGTTATTATTCTCCTAGAATCTAAGCCGAACACGTCCTTTGAAAAAATATCTTTGATGAAAATGTCCTTGAGAAATAATCTCTCGTTTGAAAAATTTACTTCATCCTCAAATCTTGTTTTTTTAAATATAATGTTACTGAAATATAGACGACACTATAACTCAAACACACTTCAGCAAATATTGAAAATTGTTTTATTTAGAGGATTTCTTTCGTATAAAAATAAATTCAATAAGAACGAAAGAAAAATATAATTAGTTGTTTTTATATCATATTTTATAAACTTTCTTGATCTCTATACACCTATAGAAATACAGAAGTATAGTGTTTGAGAGAGAGAGAGAGTCTGTAAAAGCTATAATTGTTTTTCATGACAATGATTATATGATTTTATAATCGTTTACTATTCTACTTTTGACTTTCAGATAAAAAAAAAAAATTTCTGTTAATTATGATCAATTAAATATTCTTACAAACCTTATCAAGATACCATCCAGATCCAATTCCACTATTATCATGTCCAATATCTAATGCTGCTAATGGACTAAGATTAATTGGAACATCAATTGTAAATTTATCGATAGATTTTTTTTCAAATTTTCCATTGTTTAAGAATATTTTACTTGACGATGAATTTTTACCATGCATAACTATATAAACTCGTGCATCCGTACCAGCATTTGTTTTATTACCCGTATACACTGTTATAGTATATGAAATACCTAAGAAAAAAAAAAGAACAAGAATACATACATTTAATATTAATAACAATAATCAAATTTGAATATCTATGATTTACTTACCAACATCTGTAAAGATAGCTGAAAATTGATAAAACAAAAGATCGATTTATTTTTTTTTGTTAATATAAAAGTTTACTTACCTGTTGTTGGTTCTTTCTCATAATTAGTGGATTTTTTTGGAAAAAGAAAACGAGATATTTGTTTATCATCTTCATCTTTTGCTAACCATTTATAACATGGAAATTCATATGTATGATTATTACTAAGATCTTCAATTAATATTCGATCTAAAAACCAACCAGCTGCTAAACCTTTATTATTATGTGCTATTAAAATTTTATTTAATTCACCAACACTTGGACATTCAATTGTAAATTCATCTTTTCTATTAAAAGAAAGCACAAAAAAATTTTTAATCATAGAAAAAACTTTTTAAATCTTACTGTCCAACTTCAAAATTCTTCTTTTTACTATCAAGCATAATTGCACCTGTTTCACCTAAATTACCATAAAGAGTAATAAATACATTAGCATCTGTTCCAGCGCCTTTTTTATTTCCAGTATAAATTGTTATTTTATATTGATTCTCTATAAATAACAAGAAAAAGTGTTTAAAAAGAATGAATTAAAAAAATTTTTTTTTTCTTACTCGTTTTTATTCCACTTGCTTGTTTAGTTAATATAAGTTCTCGAGATATTTGTTTATCATCTTCATCTTTTGCTAACCATTTATTACATGTTGCAGTATATTTCGTTTTTGAATCATTAAGATCTGTCACAACAATCTGATAAAATAAAATAGAAATATTTTTATTGAAATAGAAAAAAAAAAGAAGAAAATAAATATTGATACTCGATCAAGAAACCAGCCAGATAATAGACCAGAATTATCATGTTCAATACGAAGTTTAATTAATTCTCCAATATATTCACCTTGAACATGAAATTTATCTGCTTGATTACGTTCAAATGGATCTTTATTGTTAGAATTTTGTAAATGAATTTTTCCTGTTTTTTTTCCATTTTTTCCAAATAATGTTACATAAACTTGACTATCTGTACCAGCGTTTCTTTTGCCACCAGTATACACAATTATTTCATATGTAGTCACTAAATAATACATAAGAAAATTATTTTTTTGCAAAATATAATTCAAATTAATATTTGAAAACTAAATAATAATAGTCCTAAAAAATCCTTTTATCTTTTGTCAATAATTGGTCTTTTATCGATATTTGAATACCTGACGGTATTGATGAAAAAGATAAGATTTACTTTTATGAAACACGATCCACAAGGAGTGTTGAAGTATATAGGGTAGAAATTTGGACGCACTCTCCCCACAGACTGTGACAGATATTTTAATGAATTAGTAAATTAATTAATTAATCACGACCTAATTAATGAATTAATTAATCATGACCTAATTAGTTAATTAATTAATCACGACCTAATTAGTTAATTAATTAATCACGACCTAATTAGTTAATTAATTAATCACGGCCTGATTAACTAATTAATTAATCACGACCTAACTAATTAATTAATTAATTGACCATCACAGATCGTGACAGCCGTTGTAATTAATTACATAATTAATGAACTACTGCCCATTTCAAAATAAAAGGCACGTGGGTTTTTTTTTGAATAACTTTTGATAGGAACAAGATAAACAGCCGTGATTTGCACCGTTGCAAAGAGGCTGATTTAGCGCATCAACTCATATAAAATTGTTAAGGTTTATCTCAAAAATAGGTAGTAATCCATTGTCATCTTGAAAGAGTAGGCTATTGCTCTTTGAAGGTAGAACAAATCTTTTAAGATTTGAGGAGTGCACTAGAATCGCCAGCTCAAGAGTTACAAAACTATATATGACGCTTGATTCAAAGCTTTACTGGTTTGGGAGTTCTAGGTACTATATTCGACAATTATAGTCCATTTTGCCAGCATATTCTGTTAAAAAACTCAGTTTTTTTGAGTTTTTTCCATTTTTCCTGGAAAAATCAGGCCTGTTTTTAAGGCATTTTTTTTGTTCAACTATTCCGAAAGGTTTCAAAAATCCAAGTTAAAAATCATTGTCTTATACAGTTTGGTGCGTTTTCATCTGCTCTTTCCAACGGTGAAAACTGCAGCTCTCTATCTTGTTGCTATCCAAAGTTATTCAAAAAATACCCACGTGCCTTTTATTTTGAAATGGGCAGTAGTTACTACCTAATTAATCAATTGACCATCGCAGACTGTTACAGACACGCTTCGGACCCATCACAAACCGTGACAGACAGCTTTAAGGAGCTATCAGAGATCATGTACAACTAACATCTAATTGGAATATATATGGAGTATTAGCTTGTTGAAATTCTATAGTCTAGAAGCAATATCGAGATCGTGTTTCACATTTTAATCTCACAGGAATTGCGCTAATAGCGTGTTTAAATACTAATCATTTGTTGAACTAAAGTTTACCAAACGTATGCTTTTATTGTATAAACTTAAAGTCCTTTTATTTACTATTAAAATTTCATGGTGATGCTAGTCGCAAGAGATGCTTTCGCTTTAATTTTGGGTCTATCTGCTTAAAAAAATATCTTTCATCGTAAAGTTAACATTCAGCTGAAAACGAGCTCTAGCTACAACGCAACATATTCATAAATGTTTCTACATTAAAATGTGTAGAAAATAAATTAACAATCTTGAAAGATCATAATGTTGTTTTTGACCATATATCTTCCATTCGTTTTAGCTAGTGCTGCCTATCAAATCGTTTTATATGAACTGAGTACCAGTTTCCAAGAAATAGAGGTATAGAAATTGCTCCTAAACTGTTCAGAACTATTATCAGAACTAAGATAATTTCTCGGGAAATTCGCATTTAGATAATTCTTCATTGATGCGAATGTGAGTGCGATAAATCTCGTAAATAATACGTTATTTTGCTTGTGGAAATCAGGAAATTATACGGAAATTAAGTAGGAATTTCTATGTCTTAGACTTTTGGATACTCCATATCGGATTCAAACTCGACGGTCTCTAGTAAACTGTCACATATCTATCTGTTGATCACTGTATATATTGAGTATTAACAAATTTTCTTACTATTCGATAGTCTATTTAATGATGTTTGCATTAAGCCAGATGTTTTGTAGATGTCAATTGTAAAGTTGTATCAAAGATGGCAATTTTCTTGAATGAATATCTCACCGTCGGAAAGAAAGATTGAATTTCTTGAATATTAATAATGTGAAGTCCTTCTGCTGAATTAGCAAAGCTTTTTTGAAACACAATCTAAAAGAAATATTGAAGTATAAGGTTAATAATTTTGATCTCCCTCTTCAGAGATCGCGACAGTCATAGTCACAAAACTGAAATCTATTGTGGGATTATTATGAAAGACGATTGAATTTAAGATTTCTATCTTTGACTTTCTTTCCAAACTCACTGTAACGTATTATGATGCACTAACAGCTTTTCACGTCAAAATATGCTCCAAATATAGGGATGATCTCTTTCATGTTCGTGAAGTAGGAATGAAATTCAATGAATTTGCCATTCTGACACTCGATAAAACAGAGTGTACGGTTACCTGTTTTGCTCAGAAAATTATCAGATTCGAGAACTTTAAGATTGGTCATGCATGAGTTTACTTTCAATTAGAAAAATGTTTTTTTTCTTTTGGGCAGTAGGAACTTAGATCGGTATCACGCACGACCCCTATAAACTTTTCCTGCATGAGAAAAAAACTTGGAGAGAGCTGTAAGGAAGAGTTTGTTGAACATAAATCACGATTGACGATCTTGACATCCCACAGCCCGAAAAGTCTGATTGAGTACTTAAAAAAAAGGGTTGACAATTCTGCTTAGCTACACATATCTCTTCAATTCTATTAAAAAATTTTATAACTGGTTCTATGGCCTTTTCAAGTGATGCAACTGGCACATCTCCATAGCCTTTGATAGGTGCACATAACTGAACGATACGTTCATTGAATACATCAGTAAAGTGCGTAATATAAGTTGACATGATCACAGCTAGATGATTTATCTGAAGAAAAAAGATAGTCCTGGCTCTAGCAGAATTTTGAGAACGTATAGAAGGTTAGTCTTAAGAACTATGTAAGATATATCAGATAGTCTTAAATCGTTTCTATCTTAGATCAATTATTCTTCGTTGTTGTTAGCATCGGTGATAATATATTTCGATGCTAAACTGAAATTAAAATATTCCTTCTAGTCTAATTAGCTTAGAACATCTGCTCGAATAGCAGAAGATGCGTGGTTCGAATCCCGCGAAAGGCTATCTTTTACGCTGTATTTCCTTGTGACTTACATATAATGCTTACAATTGAAATGGGCAGTGTATCTATTAATTACAATGAGTTACGTAGGCTGTTTATAGCGATCATTCACGAAGTTTAACGTATATCGCATAAAACAATCGCAAAACCGTCTCGTTTATGACTACCCTAAATAGGCAATCATCTGTAAGCAACGGTCATATAATGTTGTAAGTCCTAATATACCTTAAGTGGGCAGTGTACGAGTGGCTCCTGTCATAGAACTCCAAGAAATGGTCGGACTCTGGAAGCAATAATACGATGTTCAGATTTGGTGACCAGATTTTTTGCTTTAGGTAGGAGCCAAACATCGTATGTCTAATTCTAGGAACTGACCATTTTTTGACCAGAAACGGTGGCTTTGTGGTCAAAACCGGTGGGAAAAGCACTGAAATTGGGAACCAAAATTATCAGCCTGAGATTGCAATATAAACGATTTCTTTATATGATTGACGTTATTCGTCGTATTTCTCCATACGTGTTCGCTTTCGGTCATGATATGCTCTCCACTGAATGGTTCTACTTGAGTCATAGCTGGAATTAAAACTATTTCGTAAAAATTTAATAGGTAGGAAAACTTGTCGAGAGTTAAAACAGTTTGTATTTCGAGTTATATCTGGACCAGTTTTAATTCTAATTATGCTGATGTTGCATTTAGACATAAGAAAAAAATCGAAGTAATGAAGTAAGAGTATCAGATAAAAAACTTACACTGCAATAATGTACATATACAGGGTGGCCCAAAAGTCACGCACCCGAAAAGAAATTGAATATCTCCATAATGGCTCTAGCAAAATGGCTGATTTTTTACCACTAGTAAACGCATATTTACACTCCATATCCATAAAGACAAGGCGAGAGTGAACCCTTTTTTTAAGTGTCACTATTGACTTTAACCAAAAAATTTTAATTTTTCACAGATGGAAAAAAAACAATGTAATGGGTGGCGCAAAAGTCACTTTACCGAAAAAAAGTTGAATATCTCCATTACGGCTCGAGCAAACTAGCTGATTTTTTTATCAATGCTAGAGGCATGTTCAAGATTTATATTCATAAAGACATGCCTAAAGAGATCCTTTGTTAAGTATGTTGTTTTTCTTCATCTGTAAAAAAAAGTAAATTTTTTTTGTTGCGATTAATAGTGATACTTAACAAAGGACTTCTCTAGGCATGACTTTCTGGATATAAAGCTTGAACATGCCTCTAGCATTGATAAAAAAATCAGCTAGTTTGCTCTAGCCATAATAGAGATATTCAATTTTTTTTCGGGTGCGTGACTTTTGGGCCACCCTGTATATATAATGTCAAGTGTGTATCTGTACCCAGGTCAACGATTCAAGGTCAAGAGTCAAAAGTCAGGATATGGTTGGGTATAGGGTGTGGACTTAAGGTTTTTAATGTAGGTGTGGTATGGGTGAGGGACTATGGTGTGAAGGTAAGAGTGAAGGTGGGTGAGGTTGTGGTTGTATTGAAGTTGATGAAGTAATATTCACACCACATCTACATTCAACATCCTTACTCCAAGTCTACAATCGCCTACACGCACCTACCTACCCAAATAACTTGTGTAAAAATAGTGGCGGTGAGATTTCTAATTACATCTTTGACAATATTCTCGTCATCGAAATGACCTTGCTTTTGATGATGAAAACAGATGATCACGCAATATGCAAAGATTCTTGCTAATAATATCTAATAGTGTTTGACTTTCTGCTGAATTTGATGAGTTACAATTACTACTCTGATGATATTTTCAAATTTTTCATTACCTATGTGTCTGTACAGCTTGATGAATACGAAGAAAAAAAATAGTCCAATATTACAACTGCAATGATTACCCTCTGATTAAATACAACACCGTATATGTTGTACAACACAAAATACTGCAAATATTGATCAGATCAGATTTTCGTAAATGATTGTGAAGTCTTAACTGCTTTGGTAATCTCATAGTCATTCTTTTTTTAGTTCTTATATTCACTCACTTACGATGAAAAAGAAGCAATATTAATACGCGTGTACAACTTCTTTTCATAAACTAAATAGTAAAATAAGCACTATCGTTTCGATTTTTTTTTTCTTTCATCACAACTTTTAAGAGAGAAAAATGTATGCTCCGGCTGTTTATTAACAGCAGTAAGAGAAGCGGAAAAAGTTTTCAATTCAACGAATTGTAAAGAAGCATAAGTGAGTAGAAACAAATACAAAAATGAAAGCTGTGGGGCAGTGCATCGTGAGATTGTCATCACAACCTACAGCTAATCAGTCATTGTAATATGAAAAGGACATACCAACATACTGCATATGAGAGTCAGAGTATTGACGGATAGGTGGGTAGGAATACTATTGTTACATGTATTTCTCATCTGCTTGAATCTTGATCAATTCGATTATAGTTATTATATCTTTACTGATAATTAATTATTTTCAAAATCTTGTTCGAATTATGAACAACAGAACATCAATGTCTCAGACAGACAGATGATAAAAAAATCAATACTTTTACGCGTAAAAAATACACATCAGTGTTCGATATGTATCAAATTTTCGTGATCTAATCCGACATCCATTCAAGGTTAAGTTTTTTTTTTTCTATTGACCTAATCCTACGTAAATATATGTTTGATGATTAGTTTCAAGTTACTCAAGTTTTAAAAGATTCAATTATAATGTAGTCTTAACGAACAGTTTGTTTATTATATGCAACCTATTATTTTCTTTGTTGAATGCAGAAAAAGAATGTCATATACTACGTTCAGTGCTCGCCGATATTGCTGGCACAGTCAAAATTTGAGGTGAGACCTTTGTCAAATTTGACGAAGAGTCGGCCATCATTTTCAAAAATTAAGCATATCATTTGCAATTGTTTTACGATGGTTGAATCTGAGATATTGTCATCGTTGCTACCACTATCCACTAGCGCTAAAGAAATACTCGATTTCATAATTATATCTAATCATTCTTGCAAATACCTTTGCGCTTGAGTCAGTGTTTGATATGGGTCGAATTTTGGTGGTCCGATCCTATTCAAGTCGAACTCTGATACATATTTTAATGCGTTAAATATTTTTTTTTTGAAGAAACAATCTTGTAATCCTCAGTTGTAGTAAATGAACTTAGTATTAATACTTGAATAAGTGCACATTAAAATAAAATATGTCGTGATCTCTGTCTGCTAAATATTCATTTATCGTTTTGTTTTACGCATACGGCTACGATATAACCAACTCAATTGACTATGCTTACCTTTAATATTTTCGTATGTCTTTTTTAGATTATTTCTCGATGAGTAATTAATCGTGAACATGCCGGACGATCGAGAAAAAACCTGTCTTGAAGTGGTCTTATCAAGATCATATGAACTTGAGATACTTAGATTTGAAGATCTGATCGCCTGAGCTTTAAGAATAGGTATCATTAATTCAAATTAAACTGAAAAAAGTAGTAATTATTCGTTTCTGCTATATATTCTATCGTGTGAATATTTAAGTTTATACTTCACCGAAAGTGTTGCCTTAGAAATAGTCTCACTTTTAACAAATCCTTAAGAATAACATAGCACAGACACAGCTCTCGCCTTTACAGATAAGTCTTCTTTAGAATTTTTTTCCACACCTCATTGCATAAAGCTTTATACCACGATGTGTTAGGTGTATAGTGCATATCTTACGCGCGGGTTATAATTTAATCAATTTACTCGACGTATCACCAGATGCAAAATGCAAAACTAATCTTTTGCTTTTTTTTTACTGCTAGGTATAGTAGAGGAGTATTATAGACTCTACCTTTTAATTTTTTTCTAGTGCGTTGTTGTCGTTTGTTGTATGTTATTTCTTATAGTAATATACTGGTTGTATTTTTCTTTACATGTTTGATAATTTCCATATCAATTGGATAATAAATAACAGCTATAAAGAAATAAATTCTGTTTTTTTTGAATCCTTTCCAATATAAAAGAAAAAACATTTACTTTTAAGCAATGCTCTTTTTAATCCAAAAGGTATATTTGGATAAAATTCAATAAAATCTTGTAAAAATGTAATTAATAAAAACTCACGTGAAAATATTTGTTTTTTATTTGTATTTATTTGATAAAGAATAATAGTATAAAGATGAAAATCATACACAAATGTATTAAGTTCTGTTCGTTCTGGAATTCAAAATAAATCATTTGAAATCTAAAATAAAATGTTTTTTTTTTTCGAAGGAAAAATTATTTTGTACTTGTTAATGATTGATTATTAATTGATATTTTAATAATCTTTTATAGTAACTATCAATAATATTTATATATGTCCTAGGCAGAATTCATTTTTTAATTAAGCACGAAACTACGAAATAATTTTCTTTTATTTGAAAATAAATTCTAATTTTTGTTTACATCAAGAAACCAAAATGAATTAGACAGAGCATTCATTTTCACTTATTCAAACTGTGACATTTGCATCAATGTCTCCTCGTGCGTCGATATTAGAAAATGATTTTCGAATTAATAAGCCAATAGATGTTTTAAATTTTTCGAGTAGTAAATTCGAAGAGAAAACAGTCATTTTTTTTATCATAGGTAAGACATAAGTTATAACATCCTTTATTCTTTTTGGTTGGAACATAACTCAATAAAATTTATTCTTTTAAAAAAATTCTCTTAGAAAAAAAAACAAACTATGATAGATATAAAGCTTTATAAACAAGATGACATAATTGATTTAGACAAGAGTTCATAAAATAAAGTCACATTAAAGGCATAAATAAAAAAATTTTAGTGTTTTCTCCGAATTTTTGTTTTTCTTTTATTTAATTATCAAAAAATCCGGTTGAAAATTTATCAAGAATAATGATAGACCGTATATCATCGACTATTATATTTAATTTTTAATTTCATTAGTGCTTACAATCATTAATTATGCTCTAGTATCATAATTATAATACACACATATGGTGCAATGCACATTTTTTTTTTCTAAACCATCTATATCAACTCTCTGTTCGTATGAATAGATACTTCAAAAACAATAATATCCCGCTATATCCTTGAGATAAAAAAAAAACATCAAAAATGTTTAATCGATAGAAAAAACATCAAAAATGTTTAATCGATAGAAAAAGAAAACAATAATATAACTACGAACTATTGAATTCCTACCAACCATTCAAGGTCTCCGTCTCCTCGAGATATATATTCTATTGAATAAAATAAATATAGTAAACTTATCATTGTTTATATACAGAATAACAATCTAAGCACATTTCTATTATCAAGTGAACTTTAAAGATCAGGTCTTTATAATTATGTTTTAAGACTTTTTTAATTTTCAAATATTTTCCAAACTATATATCCTTCTCATGTTTTCAATGAATGAGAATATGGATGCGAATATGACAGTGTAGGTTTGGTATTAATTGAAGAAGTCACCGATACTAGATCCTATCCGACGCCCACACTCACACTCCAACAAACAACATTATCTATTGAAATTTTCACTTGAATATGACGGCCAATCTCAATTGAATCTATTCGAATATACTATCGATTATATTTCTCAATGGTTTCATTTGTATATGGCTGCCAATCGTGAATGATCAACTAACCATTGATAATGACACTTGATGTAATGTCATACAGTTTGATAATCATCCGAATATAATTTGTTGATTACTTTTCAGTAAAAAATAATTTATGAGCTACTCGAAGAAGAAAAAGATTTCTTCTTTTAAGAGTCCAACAGTGCAGTCAACATGCAAACATGTTTTACATGTGTCTTTTGGCGTTTATAAATCAAAATGCTTTATCTTATCGGAGGTTTTTATGAAGATCTTGTGATTGCTATGATGGATGTACAAGCTGAAAGGAAGAGTGCAAATAAGAAAAAGAGACGATTAAAAAGGAAGAAAACATGACATTCAAGGGTTTAGTACGGTAGAAATTTGCTTACAAGAATCAAGAAAGATACCGATATGGGTCGCAAGCAAGCAAAAATTCATGCAGTCACTTCTAGACACGTAAGACAATCGAATAAAGTCGAGTTTTCAGTGCCCAAAAGGACTACTACTACGGCATACACATCTCAAATTCTGAAGAGAGAAAACGACATCATTAAAAAGTTTGTATCGAAACAATCAAACAGAGCAATTGATGAGTCTACATCTGAACATTCACATAAAACAGATGAGGAACATTTTACACTAGATGACATCAGACCTGACCGATCAGCTGATATAACAAAGGAACGTACAGTATTCAATGATACTCGATCTGAGCGATCGAACGAACTCGATGAGTCACAATCCCAACGTTCAGAGAAAGTAGATGAAGAGTACATGCAATTGAAAGTGATATCTCGGAGTATTGATCTTACTCCAGTCGACAAAAAAGCATTCCCACGAACTATATGTCAACAACGACAGGCTGCTATCGATAATATATCCTATCGGCGAGCTATTGATCAATGGCAACCAAAATCATTCGAACAACTAATCGGTTTTATTAAAAGTCTATCTGTGAACAAAAATGAAATTGATAAAGCATGGATTATTTTCTATTGGATCTCTCAGAATATTCGATATGATACAAAAGTTTACTTTGACAATAATATTGGTTCGCAAGCGTCTACAAATGTATTTCTTAGCCGAAAAGCAGTATGTGAAGGCTATTCAACCTTATATGCAGACTTATGCAGTCGAACAGGACTCCAATGTCGTAAAGTGAGTGGTTATGCAAAAGGATATAGTTTTAATTTTCGTCAAACAAACTTTGAAAAGACAAATCATGCATGGAATATACTCTCACTCAAGAATGGACATTCTTACTTTATTGAATCGACTTGGGGCTCAGGTTATTTAGATGCTTCAACACATCAATACAAAGCAAAGTTAGCACCTTACTATTTTTTCTGTCGACCGAAACATATGATCTATGGGCATTTTCCAGAAGATCCTCAATGGCAACTGCTCGAGCATTCATTAACAATGAAACAATACCTCATGCTACCGCACACACATGGAGAATTTTTTGAATTGAACCTAAATATTGTATCGCCCGTCTATACACGTAATATCACTCTTGAGACAGGACAATCATATGGGGAAGTACTTATTGCAACGTCGATTAATGATGTTGAACTATCTGGATCGTTGCATGATGAATCAAATACAAAAATTGAAGGTGGTGATTTCGCGTATTTTGATCGTGCTCGCAATTTGTGGCGATGTCGCTTTGCTCCACAAAAAGCTGGTAATCATACAATTGTAATATTTGGTAGTAAGAAAAGTAACGCAAACAAATCGACTTTGAGTTGTGCTGTCGAGTTCACCTTTGATATTGATCATCTTTCTACAATACCCATATCATATCCTATCACATGGTCGAAGTTTTTCGATTATCATCTTGAAATTGTCAAGCCAGTCAATACTCGGTACATTGATTGGCCGTTAGACAAGAACTTTCCCTACTGTGAAATTCTTGTTCGTTCTCCTGATGATGTTTATCTCTCAGCGGCTATGGCAGATGGAATCACTGGTAAAAAAATAGAAAATGGGACATTGGTCAATTTTAATAGTCAAGAATCGCTTTGGCAATGCCTCTTTGCTCCACCTACTAGTGATACATCATATAAATTAACATTATTTGCTCAGCATATCACCGAAAATCAATCCCATTGTGTTGCTCAATTTCATTTGCAACAAGTCCATAAATCAATGCTTCAAAACTATAGACGTTTTCCGACTACCTACGGATCTTTTCACGAAGCAAAATGTTATTTGTTTGAACCACTCGAAGGAATACTAGAACAACAATCAAAAATACGATTTCACTGTCGAATTCCCGGTGCTCATGAAGTGAATATAACAGTCGATGGGCAATTATTGAAAAATGATTTAGCATTATACATGAACGAGAATTATATATTTCAACGTGAAATTCAAGTTGGACAAAAGGAAGTAGCGGTATGGGTAAAATTCGACAAGCAAACGTCGAACTATACAGGATTGTTAGAGTATTCAGTCAAATAATGTAAACAAATGATAATACTCTCTAATAAATTTCATACAGTCAAAAGATCTACATTTTTATCTATTGCCTAGATTGCACATGAGAAATTGACGGTGTAGATGGATGCGTCCGTGAATCTTCTCTTCAGATATGGGTGTGTGGATGTTGATAAAAAAACTCCATTGTAGATCGAATCAAACGATCATTCGATTGACAAATACCCGTCAAATAGATGAACATTTCATTGAGATTTCTATGCATTGATCGAAAGATAACGATCACCATCATTTTCGATTTTCGTCCTACATATTGAAACTCAAATATTTGACTTTACTACATGAATCAATGATCGATCAAAGTTATTCTGAGAAAGTCATAGAAAACGAACGTTGTCGCCATCAGATATTGATGTCATTCATTGATTGATCAAAGATTTTGAGAGGTGATATAAAGCAAATGATGAATCTACTTCTAAACTTTTAGTACACAGTTTCAAGATCATCTTTCGATATAGATATTTTTCCTATCGATCAAGATCAAACTTGTTTGACAAGCCCGAAAAGAGAATGATTGTTATCATATGAAATATAGCAGATTAGTTTGACAAATTCAACTTGTTATATATAAAAGATGAGCATCAAAAGAGTACTGTTGCGCTATTCGACAAGCAACATTATGAAATAAGAGGTTTCAGTAAAGCTTTTCTATAATACGATTGACTAGTTCATTTTTTCATTAATACTTATGTTCTTTGCTATTTAGAAATATCACGCTCAAAATCAACGGTGGTGACTCTGTGAACGTTACGACAAATCACTTGAACAGATGTTCCCAAATAATGAATACATCGGAACTCTCGTCGGCTGACGAGACATTTGCGCCACCATCGAAATATATCAAAGAGAATCAAATATATGAGTGAATCGTCACTCTGTCTTACGAGAATTGAAATATTTTGATATTAAAAAGTTGTTCGTTATTGACACTTTGCATAATATATAAAATGTTTACCGAAAATTTGCAGATATTATGCAATTTGACTTATTTGTATAAACATCTATTTTGTAAGCTTATTTCTTCGTTATGGTTTTCTCTATTTTTTTTAACATAAGAATTTATATTCATTCTAATTCACATAATCTCCTAAACCATTTTGTTTTTGACCGACTGGAAATCAATTCTAAACTGTTCTACTTATTACGTACAAACTAATACGTCTGTAAATGATAACATTTTTCATTAAAAAGATGTTCAGATTAAATATAAATTTTATTCTAAATCGAAAAATATTTTCAAATAAGAAAAGTCCTTTTAAATATTCTTCCAAAGTAAAAAGAAATACATCTACACCCTTGGATTTATCGATTTAATGTCGTTTTCTTCAATATCAAATTGCCAGTCCTTTTCATGTATTTCAAATAAACCTTGATATGGCCATTTCAATTCCAAAATCTTTCCATCACTGATTTCAGCCTGAATTTTATATATATGTTTATCAATGATACGATGCGCATCAGCATAGGCACGTGTTTCAGCAAAGTAATGACCACCATTTGGTTCTAAATTATTCATACGTATAATCTCGTGTTCATGATGTTGACTTTCACCACAGTAAAAGATTTTAAGATTAATTGAATGAGACGTACGATTGTAGATATGAGCTGAATGGACATACTGTTTTTGTTTTAATGGCATATTTTCTAGAGAAATATTGTATATCTATTTTGTGTAACTAGCTGTAAAAGAAGCAGAAGAAGAAAATTATCGTTCTCTGGTGCGTAGAAAGTAATGTTTATCTGTACAATAGTTGTAGGAAGAAAAAGAAAATAGTGTTATTCTGTAACTTTTCTTTCATTCTGTGATATTATATATGAGATGAAAGAGAAGTATTTTTTACGCCGTTAACCAGTAAGACAAGTGAGAAATAGATACGATTATGTTAGACGAAAAAGAACCAGTCACAAGAAGACAAGAGTATTACTATGTCTTTTGACAAAAAATTCGAAGGTTGCTAATGAAAAATACAAAGCACTCCTGTAGTCAATGTTTTTCTCGACAATTCATGAGACTTACGACAGATCGGACGAAATCTTTTGAGCATATCTGCATAGTATCTCGCATTTACAAAAAGCATACGCTACCGTTTTCCAAACTATTTGTTGGCGGCAATGTACTCTCAGAACAACGAGAGATCATTGATCAACTTTACGCATATTATAGTGATCAGTTCAAAGAACTCGAGATTGACTATTCGAAGGTACATGACGTCAGAATTGAGTGCAAATGTGACAAATTATGAAACAAATTAATGATACTGAATGAACATGTCGAGAAGGGTGTCGGTGTTGGTGGGTGTGTGCCTATATATGTATCTTGGAGAATGGTTATGGATGCAGGCAAGATCTGCATCCAACACCCACTCTGCTCTGAAAACAAGAGTCAAGGTACTTTCAAGAGTATTATACAATTTCGATCAAATGCTAGTGATTCTATACTAGCAAATCATATTAAAAATTGTACAAAAAATGTGACGTATGTAAGTGCTACAACACAAAATGAATTAGTTGTTTCATATGGTACATTCATTCGAAGCAGACTATTACGCGAACTCATTAAAAATAACGAAAAGTTTGCAATCATTACCGATGAAACATCGGAACTGCCCGCTATGTTTCTGTTGAGCTCAACGTGAATATTAAAATAATCTGTGTTGACTTTTATCCTCTGACCGGTCTCTCTGGAAACAATGTAGAAAAAGCTTTGATCGAATTCATTCAATCAATCGGTTTCAAGTCGAAGAATATCAGAGGTAGCGATAATTATCGTTGATGTAAAGCAATTTCTAAGCTTAAAACAAAAGCTAATAAAAGGCAACTTGATAAAAATTGTAGTGGGTGTGTGTGTTAGTCTTCTCTTCAATCGCACTCACACCCACATCTAGGGACTGGATGTTTTCGGAAAAAATTGAAAAAACTAGAGATTTTGAAAGTTGTGTGTGCTGCTGTTTTTAAATCGTGGTGATATCGAAAGAGAAAGAAATAAGCATTTTTACAACGAAATACGCAATTTGTGCAGAAGCAGATGGTGAATCGTTTGATAAAAAAATAAAGCGTGAGCGATAAGATAACGCTTAAGATGTTAATAAAATACTGAGACCATCTTTCATTACGAGC